TCTTTCTTTAAACCGCAAAACTCTAACTTCTACCGCTTTACATTACTTTTTATGCAAGAAATAGTTACCAAAACCAAAACCCCCCTTTGTTACTAACGGTTAGGAATTTTACAACTGTTGAACTGCGGCAATATCTTATATTCCCTGTGGATACGATAACAAAAACCTGATACTCTACTACTGTTCTAACAGTAGCTTAGGGAGGAGCTGCTGGAGGAAGTGTGACCTGGGAATTGGATAGCAAGACGCGAGAGTCATATCTGGAATTACTCTCATCAGGTACATTTTTAAGGACGAAAATACTTTAAGTGGGGGAGAGTTGTAACACCCCATTTAAAATATTTAGTCATTGTGTGTTGTTTGTGATTTTATCGACTTAATTAAGGGTAGGTGGTTAAGGGTGAGTGTGTGGAGTTAGCCTTAATTGAGTAATGTGAATAAAACCTTAGAATAATATGATAATGATAATTAATTATTAATGAGTGGAAAATATTAGTATTAGTAATATTATTGTTACTATTATTATTACCATTATTATTATTATTACTATGATTGTTATTATTATTATTAATACTATGAGATAATTAATTAAGGGAGATCAAACAAATATGAGAGATTAGTGGAAGGTTACACAGATAGGAAATCAGTTAACATGAAAAGAGAACAAGAGAAAGAACAAGGGAGAACTAGGGCAAGAGGGGATTTCCACCATTTTTGAAGGATCAAAGCTCATAAATAAGATAAGGGGGAGAATGGGATTCTTTAAGGGTGATATGAACATGAGAGGGTAGTGAGGGTTCATTTCCCTCTTAGAATGTTTTTATGTATTCTTTCTTCTTGAACTATTTGTATGCTTGTGTGGTGTTTGTTGTGAATTCGTGTCCATATATTGTTCTGATATCAATCTTTGTTGCATGCTGATTTGGAATGGTAAATTCGTGTTAATGTTGTTATGTTGTTGCTAGGTTCTGATATGAAAACAGATATGAATTTAGGGGTTTTTAGGGTTAATGAAAATAGGTTTTAATGGCGGAAAATGTTGACGAAATGACAAAATAATGAAGTAGAATTGGGACTCTAAGATTATCCTGAGACAGAGGTTGGTTTGGGTCTGAATTAGGAGCTTAGAAGTGCTCTAATGGGGGAAAATCGCACTAATGCGAAATTGGGCATTTTTTTGTGCAGGCAAGGCAATACGTGTAAGGCACAAGACATTACGTGTATGGGGGCACACCTAGGGGGCAATACGCGTATGATACGCACCCCGTCCCCCTTCCAGCAAGGCTTTTTTTGCAAATATAATCCTACAATATACAAATATTTATTATAATTTATATTTCACTAAATATATAAATATTCATATTTATGAAAATAATTATATAGCGCTTTTTTAATTTAAAAAACTATAATCAAAATTAACACTTTTTTTTATTCCAAAGGTAACACCTCACAATGTCATTTTTTTCCTTTTTTTTTTGACTTTCTATTTATTCTAGGGATAACGTACCCCTCGACAAAGTGACTTTTTCGTAAAAAGAGTTTCTCCTTGTGACAAATATACATAGGAAATAAGCATTATTATCGTAACACATCTCTTATATCTAGGTCAAACTCTTGTAACAACATTGTCCACCATATAAACCTATACTTTACATTCTTCTTTTCCATCAAGTACGCAATGACAATATGTTCTGAATGGATAATGACCTTTGCTCCAATGTGTATGATCTAAATTTGTTAAAGGCAAAGGAAACAACCAACTACTCTTGATAATTGTATTGTTCAATTGGCCTTTAATCATTATTCTTCTAGAATATTAGGTTGAGTGAAGTACCTTTTCATTCATTGGCCTAAAACTACTCCTTATCATCATCACTTGCATTATTATGATCTTCAATTTCTTTTTCAAATTACGTGCGGTGATTACAAAGATTGGGGTACAACTTTCTTTGTTGGAGTTTGAACCAAGAGGCGTTCGAAGTTTTCATTATGTTGTTATGTAATGAGGAGGAAGGGAAAGGATAAAACTCATTAGATATATCTCAATTCATAACATAAAGTTTTGCTAAATCTACTAACAAAATAGAATCTTAACAACTTCAACTTGAGTCACCACTTTCTAGAATCATTTTCCACTAGCTGCCAAATTAATGACATAATTCTCAAACTTCTTAAGAGGATTGATTATTCTCTTTGTTTTTGGGCCTTGACTCTCATTGGGTTCCTCTTCCACCTTTAGGCCTTTGTCTCTACTAGGACTGTTAAAAAAGTTATGAACCAAATGAAACTACCAAACCAAACCGAACTGAAGTTGAAATAACCTAACCATTATGTTTGGTTAGTGAAGCGAACTAATATTTTACTAATGATTCTATAATCGAACCGAATTGCAATTAACCAAACGTAAACCTAAACTAAACTATTATATATGCTCTTGAAGCTAGATTTTTTTTGTTGTGAATAGCTAGATTTTCCGTGACAGGATTGTTGCTAAGTATCTTCAGACTTTGTTTAATAAGGAGGATCTACATGAAATGCAGAACCTGGATCAAGGATGTTTTTTGAAACATTTGTATGCCCTTAAGGATTATTAGGGCTAGCATATGTACTGTTTAATAAACTTTAGCATTGATTTGACATATTTTAAATGTTTGGGACAATAACACATGAAATATCAATTCTCCTCTTCTCTATTTAATGAATTCTATTGGAGAAAAGAGAGTAACTAATAATAATGAGTTATGACTAAAAGCACCAAAAACACTAGGATTGTTAAAGAAAATCGTCAAACCGAATTGTCGAACTAAACCAAAATGAGGTTAAAATAATCGAACTGTTATATTTGGTTGTTATATTAAGTTAGTGAACCGAACCATGTTGGACAAATAGTTTTATAGTCTAACCAAATGACAAATGAACTAAATCGTAACTAAAACCGAACCAAACTAAAACTACAAATGAAAAACACAAAAAATAAGTTTTAAATTTTTATTATCAAATTGAAAAAGTATAATGGTTTGCTTCGTTAACAAATAGTTCAGTTTTGAAAAAATTGTCTTCTAATAGTTTGGTATGGTTCGAAATTCCGAACCAATAACTTTGTTCGAGTATTTATTATCTATTTGAATTACATTCCTTAATAATAAATTTGAAAAAAAAAATTCAGAATTGTTAAATAAATGAAGAGAAAATTTCATATAAAAAATTAAAAATAAGTGTCATTACTATTACTGATCAATAAAAATATCTACCAAAAAAGAAGGGGGAAAGCTTTCATTTTATGATCAAAAATCCAGTTATACCTATTATTTCAAAAAAAAAAACAAGAAGAAGAAAATCTGAGATCGGTTGAATTTCAAGTATTCATCTTAACTAATAAGATACGAAGACTGATCATAAATAAATTAAAAGGGTTTGGTTTTGTTCGAATGACCATTTATTATAATTTCGAATCAATTGGGTTTGGTTTTCTGACCAAATCATTCCATTAAGAACCCTAATCTTATTATTTGGCCTTCTCATATCACATTTATTCATAAATGTGTTTCAAAATAAATGTTATCTCTAATTTTTAATGTATTATTTTTCTCTCTCAATTGTGTGTTATTTAACCTAACGTGTTCAACTACTAAATTTTTATATTTCACTTTATGTTTATGATAATTTTACATATATGCTAATGCTTAATATTCATAATTTGGAAAAATTGATATTGTTTTTCTGTTAATTATAATTTTTTTAATAAGTAGAATATAAGCCAAATATGGAGAAAGTAATAAATAACTTTGTTAAAAATTTCAAAAACAATTTCTCTATAGAAGATAATAAGTTATCATTCTCAAAACATTATTTATTGTTTGTTTGTTGATTTTTTAAATAAAAAAAAGCATAGTGGCTAAATATATTATTACAAAAATAATTATTATGATTAAAATTTTGAAAAAGCTTATAAAAGGGTAAAAAAGAAAATATACATTTTTAGAACGTGTATATTAAGAGTTTATCTCTTTACTTTATTTTTTATAGATTTTATGTATAAGAGACAATCTTATTTTATAAAATATTAAAAGTAAAAAACTTCTCAAAAGAATATTTGAATTTTGATTTGCTACTTGATAGTTATTTGACTTTTTTACTAGAAAATAAATTATGTTCATAGAATTTATTAAAGTTATAAAAAATCATGAACGTTCATAAATTTGTTCACGATTTTCTGCATTCGATCACATAAATTTATATTTAAAATTTCATCAAATTTTCTAGAAACTAAAGAAATTCTAGATGCTTTTTAAGACTAAACTCCTATTGATAATACAAAATATATTATTTTTTAAAATAAATAATAAACATTGTCCCACAAAATAGTTTTTATACATTGAACCAATTAATATTCTTTTCCTTTGTCATCTTAAATTATTATATCCTTTTGATTAAATTATATATTTGGATAGTTGAAAATTGAAAAGTAACTTGCTCACCACAAACCATTTTTTGTCTTTTAGTGCTTCACTCGTTTTCTTCATTTTTTTCACCATTCTCTTTCACTCTTCCGAAGTTATGGAGTGTGTTTTTCTCATGGTTTTCGTTTTTGGCTTCTTGGATTGATTTCGAGATAAAGTTTCAATTTTTTCTTCTGGGGTTGTGAGATTCTGTAAGTATCTTAGTTTGAAGCTTTGTTACTCATTGTTGTTGTGAACTTCGTTGAAAAATTTATCCTTTTTTGTTTTGAGCATTTGGGTTTTTGTGTTGTGTTTGAATTCTTTGTTTGTTGGTTTGGAATATTGGTTTGTGAGATTGGGTTTTGGAGAAAGGTTCAATTTTGATTTGTGGGTTGTTTTCATTTGAAGATCTTGAGAGTTTGAGGATTGAATTGAGATAGGTTTTGTGGATTTTAGTGTTTAGTTTGGTGGAAATCGTTGAGGAATGTGTGTGAAATTGGATTGGCTGTGGAATGGGTTTATTGGTTTGATTTGATTTGATTTTGTTGTGGTTGAGAAGAAATGGAAGGGAATTTATCTCAAGGAGGTATAATTCAAGGTGGTGGTAGTGGTTCTTTTGGTTTGCCGGGATCGATGCGAGTTCATCGTCATGCACAGATGAACCAACATCAAGCTCATCCTTGTCAAGGGTCTGCGGGGCATTCGTCGATTCGTGAAGGTTTTCCTCTTACAATGGGGACATTGCAGAACTGTGATCAGAAGATGGCGATGAATGAGTTTGGTCAGGGAGATAGGAGCAAAAACTCGGCAAGCGAGGAAGATGAGATTGAGGAAGGTGGTGAGGGTCATCATCAAGAGGGGTCGAGAGGGAAAAAGGGGTCGCCTTGGCAGCGTGTGAAGTGGACAGATAAGATGGTGAGGCTTTTGATAACGGCGGTGTCTTATATTGGCGAGGACGGGACTTCAGAAGGCGGTGGTGGAGGAAGGAGGAAATTTGCGGTTTTGCAGAAAAAGGGTAAGTGGAAATCTATTTCTAAGGTTATGGCTGAAAGAGGTTTTCGTGTTTCGCCTCAGCAATGTGAGGATAAGTTTAATGATCTTAATAAAAGGTACAAAAGGCTTAACGATATGCTTGGAAGAGGAACTTCTTGTCAAGTTGTTGAAAATCCTGCTTTGTTGGATATTATCGATTATCTTAACGAGAAAGAAAAGGACGACGTTAGAAAAATATTAAACTCGAAACAACTCTTCTATGAAGAGATGTGTTCTTACCATAATTCCAATAGATTGCATTTGCCGCATGATCTCGCATTGCAACGGTCCCTTCAAATAGCTCTCAGAAATCGAGATGATCATGATAATGATGATGTGAGAAGGTCCTATCATGACGACCACGATGAGGATAGTCACGATATGGAAACAGATGATCATGACGAGTTTGAAGACAATTACGCTTCACATAGTGATAGTCGAGGAATCTTTGGGGGATTGGGAGGATCTACAAAAAGACTAAGACAAGGCCAAGGTCAAGAAGACGCTACTACTTTCGGGAACACTTTAAATTGTCAGGAGTATAACAAAAGTCTGTATCCTCATGGACAGATCGTGCAACCTGACGGACACCAGGCTTTACCCGAAAACATGAGAGCAGCTTTGTTACAGAAGCAATGGATTGAGTCTCGTTCGGTTCAGTTGGAAGAACAGAAGCTACAAATTCAGGCCGAGATGATGGAATTAGAGAAAGAAAGATTCAAGTGGCAGAAGTTTAGCAAGAAAAAAGATCGAGAATTGGAGATGTTCAAGCTGGAGAATGAAAGAATGAAGATAGAGAATGAACGTATGGCTTTAGAGCTAAAACGGAAGGAGATCGTCGGCACCAGCTTTAACTAGGTTTGCTGTTTTGCAACGGCGCTCATTTTTTTTTTCCGAAAAAATTATTATTTCTCTAATATCTATGATAAACTGTGGTATATTTTGTTGAAAGTTTTCAGTTTTGGTACATACCTAGGCTTTTACTGAAGTTGTGTTGCCTATGTTGAATGAATGGTTGTCTAAAACTTTAATCTTTCATTTTGGAATATCAAGTTTCAAATATTATATGTTGTCTGTCCTGACCTTGGTTTAGCAGCATGCCGCAATAGGCTGCCTTCTTAAGTTTGTGTTACAGACACGGACACCAAACTCAACAACAACACTGACCCGTGGATATCCTTAATAATTTATGGAAATAGATTAGATTGAATGTAACTTTATATGTCAGTGTCGTTTGAGTTTCTGACACCGTGTCCGTCACTTAAATATGCGATCACACTGAAGTGTTGGTGCTACATAGTGGAGGATGATTCCCTGCAGTGACATTCAATGCAGTTGGAGCATTGTATCATGATCAGACAGTTCATGATCTTATAATAAAAAATTTCTTTTCTGAAAAGCTCCTTTGGAAGTCCAGTGTGTCCTTTCATCTACTTAACATTGATTTATGTCATTATAGACAGAAGATCTATTTTTCATTTACTTTTTTAAAAAGTTGTTAAAATTGGTCCTGTTTTTATTTGGAATCATCATGCATTCCATTGTGATCCTTGCTACGAGGTTATTATTGTGTGTTTTTGAAAATTGAAATATTCAATGTACGGCTCATAGAGGAAACATAAATACTCTATATTGTCTCAATCTTTTGAACATTATGGGTTCAGGACTTCTAATTGAAATTTTAAAGAATTTAGAATTTTGGTCAATTTAAATGATTTAATTGAAACTTATTCAATTTTAATTTTTTTTATATACATTATCCAATTAAAAATTAAAAAAACATAAGGAGGTGGAATTTGAAGGGTGGAGATTTTCACTTCCTCTCGGGTAAAATTCTATCCTTTCGTCTTTTAGGTTACTTGACAGTTATATTGTGTTTGAGTGGATCAAATTACTAAAGGATAAAATCAAAAAGTTGGAGGTTCTTAAAAAAAGGGATCGCCCTTTTTAGGAAATCCAAAAATGTTTTTGGAATATTAAGTTAACCTTCAAATGCTCTTCGTACACATCAAAGCACTTTATAAGTGAATCATCTCCATTTTGTCAATAAATGATACGAAGATAAACTTCGTACTATGAAAGAAAAGATTGAGTACGTAGGTTGAGTTATATATTAATTTTTGAACACATTTTAAATTCATCATAGTGTATTTATTTCACAATTAAGTGGATATTACGGAAATCTCAAAGATAATAATTTTATTATAAATTTGACATATTTTAAGAGATTCATACAAAGTATACATAATTGTTACACAATTAAACCATACACTTATGTTATTCAATCCAAATAGAACATATTAATGAAAAATGCAAACCAACAATTATTTTATTAATTATCAAAATATAAAGATAAAGTCAACTATGACACTCTAATATCTCCCAATAATTTGGCCTAAGTAACCCTCCATCTGCATTCAATATCATGTAAGGATATGACACTCTAAGCATGAGAGGTAATGGGGAGTCCTTAATCTCTTTCACTTTTTCTCTTTTATGTTTCCTCTATTGATGAATGAATTAAACCTTGAAAGGTTTGTGTAAAACCTCTAGAGGTTGTTGTTATTAATTCTAATCTTCGTGCTCGGTTAATTGTTGAAATTATAGGATGTGTTAAAATGTTATGATTGATGCCATAAAGTTCTCTGTTGATATGGATGTTATTAATTGACATGATATGTTTTAAAATGTTATGATTGATGTCATAGATTTCTCCGTTGATATGGATGTTATTATTTGACACGATATATGTTGAAATTTTGTGATTGATGAGTTCTGAGTTGTGATGAACAAATGTTGTTGATGAGCAAATGTTGATTTCTGAGTTTGGACTTTTATGAGAATGGAAATATAAAAGTATGAAACTGTTGTAGAGAGAAAAATTGTAGATAAACATAAAAGGAGATTAATCGTATTGTTTCATGCATAATTTGAGTTTTGTAAGCCCGTTTCAAGTGAGATCACTTAGTTAGAAACCTAATGCGATAATATTTCTATAGAAGTGTGGAAATTGGTCGGGGAGCACCACAACAGTAACAATTCTATGGTTTTAATACCAGAAGCATAGTAAAATTTCAGTCATGCGTTGGTCATCTTGTTTCACACGTAATTGGAGTTTCGTAACTCCGATCGAGATGAAATTAATTTTGTTGAAATAGGGTTTAAAGAACTTTTAAACTGAAGAGTTTCAAAAAATTTATCATAAGTATATAATATTTGGTTCTATTGTGAAGTTAGACATTATGTTTTAGAGTTTATGTAGGAAATATTGTGACATGGTTGAACTGAAACGAATAAAATTAGAGCTAGAATACTCCGATCGAGATACAATCAATTGTGTTTGAAAGAGGATTTAAAGATCCTTTAAACTGGATACTTTCATAATTTTATCATAAGCCTATAATATTTGGTGCTATTGTGAAGTTAATCATTCCGTTTTAGAGTTAACTCAAGGGTTTAGGGACCCTAAGGGTTAACTTATAGGGTCAAGAGTTTTAGGAAACCTTTAGAGAGATTTAAGGAATTTGAATACATTTATAAATAACTTGAATTTGAGTTATAGATATTTTTAGAGTTTAGTGTGACAAATAATTGAGTCGTTTGACTCGATTGTTTTGAGTGGTTTCCGACTCTTCTGATTATTTGATGTTGTTTGATAAGTATCAATGAGAAATTACATATTTTAATTATTATGTTAATTATATGGTGTATGCCTCGTGAGTAGAAAATTTGTTGGGTTTACGCTGAGATGTTTCGGTTTGATGGAACCAGTGACGTGACCTTTCAATGGCAATGAATATTAATTATGTGTTTTATGTTAAAGAGGGACCAACGAAAAATATTGAAGTTGAAGGTTTAGATGAGTATTGCATATCCTTATGTAGCATTCATGAATCATGTATATTGGAGATTGATAAGACTTATGTCCAGTGACGAGTAGGACTTCGGTCCAGTGATGAGTTAGGACTTCGGTCCAGTGACGAGTTGGATGATTCAGTAACACACCTCTGAATATCTGAATTTTGGTACCACGTGCATTTGAGCAGATGAGATGAATACATTACACACATAATTACATTTTTTGATTAATTATTCTGTTGTTGGATTCGTATGATCGATTTAAAAGTGACAATATACTACCCTTGTTGTTTACACACCTTTAATATATGGAATGTATTTCTCACTTCTTTTATGTTTGTTCTTGTGTTGTTTTTTATGTCTGTGGTTCAGATACTCAGATAGAGACTGAGGATCTTTATATGTTGCTTGTATTGGAGGATGACATAGTTGACCTTCTTCGTTGTTTATCTTTTCATGTTATTTAGTTTTTTGTGTGATGCTTTAATAGCGTAGCACTGGGTTGGGAATACCTTATTCTTTTTTGTTTTATTGCGAGATGTTGAATTAACTATTGTATGATTAATTAAAGTTGATTTTCTAATTATGAGACAATCTGAAGTGTTATACTGAGAAATGTGGCACACTTAGTATTCTTTTATTTTGTATGATTTATAAATTATATGTTGGGGGTTTAGGGTGTTACAGTTTAGGGTGGTACACTATGTACATCCTTTGGGACTAGATGATCATGGTACTCTACAAATGTCTCATCAAATTCTCTGTGGTGGAGTGTGGGAGGAGCATCAATGATGAAGGATCATGGAATACCCTAGAAATACATGAACAAGCGAATGACTCACTAAGGTAAATGTAAATACATCAATTGTGACTCACAAGCCAACCATCAGAAGCAGAAGGATATCTCATCAAAGAGGCATGTCTCACGGTGATCGTCATATAGTGTGAATTTTATATCATCTGCCGTGATGTAGTCAAGACATCATCATATTCATCCACATATGCCTAGTCAGAGAGACGTAGAAGGTGGTGGAGGATCCATTCCTAAAAATGGTTCAGATAAAATATTATTAACGACATATCACACATGTTATGAAATATTAGTAATAGTAAAGGTGAAAATACATTAATGTAAATATGGTGTTGCTTGTTGTCATCTGTCTAATCTTCCATAAACAAGTTTCACCTAACTTGGAGTAGAGGTAAACCAAATCAGAGCCCCCTAGTTGTACTCATGAATCCTCTCTAAGTCAATGAAGTGTTTCAGTTAGAAGACGCCGACATAACATGGACTTTTGTCCACAAATATTGACGTGCCAACCAGATACAAGAGATATGACCTTAATGACCATACTCTATGATGTGATACATATGCATCACCACCATTAGCTTCAGCTGTTGCATCCAGGTGGTATCTGTAAAAACTCTCAAGAAATTTAAATCTGGTATGACATCCTCTGGTGTTATCTATCTCCTGTTGGGCATCACTGGCCAACTCCCAAATATTGCACCATCATCTCTAGTGCATCAACTCTAGTGAGTATGGAGGAGTTTAATAATATCTCCATGGTCGAAAGATGTATAAGGGATGACACATCATCAAGTGTGATAAACATCTCACCGACTAGAATATGGAATGAAGAAGTCTCTGAGTGTTCTCTCTCGACGAAAGCAGACAATAACCTAGGGTTAATAAAAGTATACCAAGTCATGCATAAATCTTACAACCTAGATAGTTGCAATACATCCTAAAACCACACTTCATCGAGCTACAACTGTTTCACAATCTTCATATCGTAGTTGATACATTTTAATGACTCACGACTGTAAAAAAAAATACATCAACATAAGAAAGTTCAAATCTTATAACACACATGTTTACAAGAATAAATACAAATTTATTTTACCCCTCCATCCCATACGTGCCTAGAAGCATGCACTACAAGAAAATAACTTTTTTGCTTCAGAAATTTTAGCATCAGACCATTTTTTATGTTATT